GGTGTCAAGACAGGATGGAGATGAGGAAACTCAAGAGGAGAAGGGGAAAGCCCCAGAAAAACCAGAGCACAAAGCTGTGGCCCTTCAGGAAAAGCCCGAGAGGGCAGATGGAAAGCAGGAGGCTGTGTGTCCCCGGGAGAGTCAAGATTGTCTGTCTCCACAACCAGCCCCACAACCTTCTGACGGTAGCAAAGAAAGTCCCGAGGGAGCAGGCAGTGTGGGAGCCAGGGTAGCGGAAGTGTGTCCACGGCAAGCGCAAGAAGCTCCCCCTGATAAGAAAACAGAAATCTGCCCTTGGGAGGTGAGCCAAGAAACAGCAGAGAATGGGGGATGTGAACCAGAGGTAGACAGAGAATCTCAAGGGCAAGGAGAAATGTTCCTGCAAAAGGCAGAATCTGGAGGGACTGAAGAACACTCTTCAGAAGAAGTAAAAGTCAGCGGAGAGACAGAGATGATCCGCCCTTGGGAAGGCACAAGGTCAGAAGGACTCTCTCCCCAGCCAGATGCTCCAGCCATGGACCAACCCAAAGTCATTCCCCATGGAGCAAGCAGGATGGGAAGCCAGGTGGCAGAGCTGTGTCAATGGGAAGTCACAGATCCCGAAGGAAATAAAGTAACGGGCACCATGGCAGACATTGACTCATGTCTTTGGGAGGGAACTGTAGCCCCATCTGAGGAATCTGGTCTTCTGGCTTTAACAGCAACTCAGAAGCAAATGCTCTGCCCCACAGTCCCCGAGAACCCACCATGCCTTTCAGTCCAGAGACCTTTGGGTAACTTCCTTCCAGACAGCAAAAGCCTCCGCCCCAAAGCGAACAAGCCAGCCAGTACCTTTACTCTGGAGGGTGTCAGAGAACTCCAAGTCCCTTCAGAATTTGAGCCGAGGACCAGCTTAGCCCCAGAGCCAACCCTGCAAGAAGCTGAGACTCAAAAGTCTTCCTCCTTAACTGAAGACCAGGAAATAGCTTCTGAAGCTCAACTTGAAGAACTCATCCCTCCAACTGTCTATCCTTGGGACTGGGAGTAACAACTCCATCAGTGAGGTCATACACTGGGTGGCTAGCTTTCAGGACAGTCAAGGTTCTTTCCAAGTTCTAGGTGTTTCCAAAAAACTGAATCAAACAAACTTGGCCACTTTCCCTCTGCAAGAAGGCCAGAAGTCAACTCATTCCAAGACAAACTGTACAAAAAGGGTGCAGCTCAGACTCCAAAAGGAAGTACCATCTTCTCTTTACTTCCTCTCTTTTCTTCCTGCTCCAGAGCACAAGGGCCAGACCTTCAGCTTCTAATTAATGCTCCCATTCAGCTAGAGTACTCCACAGAAGCCATCTATGACATCACTTGTAAAGCTAATGTTAATGACAAAAGGGAGTCAGCTGTACACGGCCCACACTTTCTCAAAGGTAGACCCAATCTTCTCTGAAATCTCCCAAGGATATTTTGTAAGAAAGTCAACCACTCAAGGCATTGGCAACATAGGGGCTGAAGATTATAAAAGGTCACCACAGGAAGTTTAGAAGCTACTTAATTCAAGTTCAAAAGCAAATCAGGAGGAAAACTTAAATGGCTCAAAAGAGGTCCCTGTAATGCCTTAAAGATCTTGTCATTTTGACTTTGGATCTCCAGTTTCTGCTTTATTGATCCTCTTACCTGCCCTGCTTGATTGAAGTAGAGCCAATCAAGCGAATTTACATCCATATCAACATCTAGCATCCAAAGCAACAAAGAAACAGAGAGCATAAAGGGAAAGGCAACAGCTCCAGGTCCTGCCCACGCAGTCCGAGGGAAAGTTCTCCCTTCCAGACACTGTCTCACAGTTGAAGAAGCATGCCTCTTGCTAGCCTTCTCAGATGGCCTTCCCTTCTTCCTGCCCCATCTTTGGACAGTCTGCAGAGTTCACCCCACTGCCTCATTCTCCTAGCCTTTCAGTACTGTCATTAAAGGGACTCCTCTCTGTTGTCAAACGCAACAGGAGCCTGGGGAATTTCTGGTTCCGAGGCAAGAACCACTTCAGCTCACTTTCTCAGTAACAAGAGGCCCACATCAGTCTCTTTCCCAAGAAGCTCGAGAAAGAAAGGAGGTCCTGTTTACAGCCAGCATTGTAATTGCCCTCAGAAAGAGTAGTGGTTGGGGCAGGTTAGAGCCCAACGGCCAGGGAAAGGGCATCCTTAAGTACAAAGCCTCCTTTCTTAGGGAGCTCTTTCTTGTTCTATTCCTTCAAGCCAATTCAGGCTACTTTTACTTAAGCAGTCCTAGATAACAGAGTGCTGGAAATAGGTGATACTACCAAAGGGAAATGAGAAAGGAGAAAAACACTGGTCACAGACATCCCAGGTCTGGCAGAGGTGAGGGGGTGGAAACAGGCAGACTAAACACGGCAGAGCTGGGCAGGGACCCACCTTCTAACTGGACAGATACTGATGCCATTCACAAGGAGGAAAAAAAGACAAAAGGAAACCAAATACCCAATGGGAAAAAAAAGTTTGCATGTAAATATTCTGGGCAGCTACAGGGCTTCACAGAAAGTAGCAAAAGTGCTCCATTTCCAAAAAGGAAGAGAAAGCATGGAATAACCCACTTTTAGAGACCAGACATCCTTGTTCCCTGTCTAAGCTCTCCCTCTTACCTAGGTGCCCTCCCCCAGGCTTCCAGAGCAGTAAGTAAAGTGTGGTCTTGCTCCAGGCTGCATTCTCAGCCTCACAGCTTCTGTGTGTGTGTATACTCAGTTACATCCGACTCTTCGTGACCCCGTGAACTGTAGCCCACCAGGTCCTCTGTCCATGGTATTTTCCAGGCAAGAATACTGGAGTGGGTTTCCATTTCCTACTCGAGAATCTTCCCAACCCAGGGATCGAACCCGCATCTCTGTGTCTTCTGCATTGGCAAGGAGAATTCTTTTCCCCTAAGCCACCTGGGAAGCCCTCGTAGCTTCTGAACCAATGCAAATGCTGCACCTCTGAGAATCCCACTGAGAATGGACTAGCTGGAACAGAAAAGTTGTCCCTGTAATCACAGCTGTGAAATAAGCCATGGAGAAAAAATAAAGAATGCTTTCTTGACCATTGTAGTTGCTTCGAGCTTGTTATGGTAAATTTATTTTTTCAACATTTCTAAACAGTAATAGTAGACAGGTAAGGAAAAGATAGTGCCTGCTCTAAAGTCCAAGGCAGCCACACTGCAGCCTTAGAGACTATGGGGTGGTCTGGCTAATTCTCAGCCAGTGCCCAGCTACATGGCTGGCATTGCAGATGGTCTCTGCCCGGCCCTTCGAGCCAATCCTGTACATCTGGGCCATCCGATCAGCTGGATTTGACCCCAAAGGGAAATGAAAACTGCACTTATCCTCTGGCTCCCTGGTGGCAGCTATTGCTTAGCTGCTATTTAGGATTATCTACAGACCCCTGAGACAGATCTAGGGAAGTGGGGTGAAATAGCTTATTTGAAAATTTTATATATATATATATTTTTTCATAGAAATCAAAATGCTGTTTGGTCATTAAGTGTGCTTTCTCTGCTCCCTGTCCCACCCAGGACTGCCTCCCCCTTACTCCACACCCACCCAGCTGTGGATCCTACTGAAAGCACTTCCCTTCTCATTTTGCCTTAATCTGGGGCTCAGGCAAATAGGATACGACCAAACCTCACTTGGGCAGCAATGCTGGAGACTGATGTACATTTTTAAGCCCAAAGGGTTGAGACTAAGTAGCATGATGAGAGTGGCTGCTTTGGATTAACCTGCTAGTGCTGCCTCTCCCCTAAGCATACACATCTCATTTCTGTGTTGGCAGCTGTTGTTAAAACCTTAGTTCTCCCCAGTGAGGCCTGGTCTGTTTGCTGCTTTGTTGAGATGGTCGCTTTACAGAGAGGAGTCAGGTTATTTTCAACCTGATTCGTTTCTTTGGACTCTACTCTCAAGGTAAAGTCAGAACAGATTAATCCTTAGCCAAGTGATAAACTCCTTAAAAGAAAATTCTAGACTTAAAACATAGAAATATGAGAATTAAGGTTCTAATTTTTAAGGGGAGACCTCATGGGCTATCAGTGTAACAGTGCTACAAGCCAAGCTTGCTGCTGGGACAGTGACTTCCCTGTCACACCTCAGATGACCCAGGACATGAGCATGTGAAGTCCTACATCCTCCTCCAGCTGGAGCTAAGGCACAAGTAGGAGCTGGGCTGTTTCACGCTCCACAGGTTCATATCCTGGAATCTTTGCCTCCAAATTTGGGCTGGAAAAACAGTCACCATCTCCAAAAGGTGCTAGATACCAGGGAACCAAGTCTTACTGATGAATTTCCCAAATGTATCCACACTTCCATGGCCCCTGTCTCCACCAACGCCTCCTGGGATTACACCAGTTGATAATTAAGAACAAAATCTAAAAGCTGAGGGCTAAATGATTTCTTTGGATTTACATTCATTTGTGAAATACAGATACTGATTTAGTGAATCAGTGTATGAGAAGAGACCCCCTTAAATGACATCACTTTTATAAACACTAATTATTTTTCTCAAGTCTGGGTTTCCTATAAGTCACATCAGTCACAGTTAACTTCCACTTCTACCATCTGAAGGCTTGTCCACTTCCAGCCTGAACCAGGAGAAATGTAGAGAACCCACCACAATTTGTCTAATACTTGATAGTGTTTTATTTCCAACTCTGATCCCTGCCCTGTAATTACAAAGTCCTGCCAGTTTGCTCCTGACAGTTTTTGCTATGGGAAAGCTGGTATCATGTTCTTTGAAACATACCGCCTTTCATCTAGAGTTAGAAACAAGATATAAGATGGAAAAAAAGAAGCGAAGCCACTGCTGTGCATAGACCCAACCCGCCAGGGCCCAACCAGCAGCCGCTGTTATTGAGGCTAAGACTGCTTAAAAGACCCACGCAGGGCAAGAGCGAACAAAGGCAGTTCCTCCCACAGTGAGAAGAAGACAGGTGACGTCACAGCTTCCAGCTGCCTCCTCATCCATGCTTCACCCCAGGAGTCATTCTTGCCGTCACGCTAGCTGAGGCTTATGGGCCTCTCTTTGCAGCTCTTCATACTCTTCCCCAGGTTTCAGCTGGGGGCCAGGGATCATCACCGTCTGAAACAGCAGGAAGCTGTGTTATCTACTGTCCAAGTCCACGGTTTACCCAAGAGATCCATGCCTGCCTCCAGGCCCATCCCCAAAGGATTCCTCTTCCTGGGGCTGCATCACCCTCCCTCTCCACTAGGAGGTGCCCAACAGGAGTGGCTGAGTATGCCATGTCTTAAACCAGGTGGCCCTAGGGGTAAAGAACCCATCTGCCAATACAGGAGACGTAAGATGCGGGGGGTTCAATTCCTGGGTGGGGAAAATCCCCTGGAGGAGGACATGGCAACCCACTCCAGTATTCTTCCCAGGATAATCCCATGGACAGAGGATCCTGGTGGGCTACAATACATGGGGTTGCAAAGAGGTGGACATAAGACTCAAGCAACTTAGCACACCTTAAACCATGCAAGCTGCTTTACCTTAAGGATGGGCTGCTTAGGGGGTGCCCATGGGGGAATGATCTTGCCATGCATTCTCCAGCTGCCATAGGGATTTGCCAGATGCTTTTCAAAGACAACATACTCCAGGACATCCCTGGGCACATCTTCCTGTCCATACATCAACCGGCCAAACCGGTCATAGATGGCCAGAGTCTGCAAAGATGAAAGCACATCAAGTTGGTTAGTCCTCAGAGTTGTTTAATTCTAAATCCAGACTAACCGATCAACCACTGACACTTTACTCTTAGAGGGTTTTTGACTGAGGAGGGAGAGCGGTCAGGGTGGAGGGAGTGGAAGGATTCCAGAAAGGGGAGGAAATAATATTCCCACACCTGTGTTCACAGCTAACATACAGCAGTGGGAAGGGTAGAGTGACAAGGCAAGAAAGACTATGGTGAGCCTTTCCTTAGAACTCACAGTCCTGGGTATGGACTCAGAGGTAGGTGCTCAACCTGAGAGTGAAGAAAAGCTGGGAGGAAAGCAGACTGGTGCCTCTACCTGCCGGGTGTGCATGCGGATGGTGACCTGGCCATACACGTTGCTCTGGGTCACCAGACTCGAACAGCGAACCTGCACCACCTGGGGTGGCTCTAAAGATTCTACGAAGCTCCAGTGGACAGTCTTATATTTGATGTCCCAGACCATGTCCTGAGGGCAGAGGGCAGAGAAGAGTTCAACTGGATTCCGGCCTGCACACCCCCGCCCCCTTAGGGAAGTGGGTGCTTATTTCCATGCTTCCTCTTCTTGCAATGCCACAGTCAACATGCAACGTTTCCCAGCAAATGTGCACTGGTGCTTATTTTCTGCCTCACTTTTCTAAATTTTGCTTAAGCTACTGCTCAAGCTCACCTTACAACAACTTGCTTTTCATTTCTAAATCATGACTCAAGAGCCAATTACCACCTGGAGGACCCTTCTCCAAATCAATGAAGACCTCATTCCAAACTGCCAGCTTACCTAATATGTTATCCCTCCCACACACTTTCATAATCTACTCATTATTGCATGCATTTCTGTTGGCCGCATGTTTGTTTTTTTTCTTCTTACCTTTCGGCAGTTTTTATAGGAATTTGATAGACTTTTATAAAGGTTAATAACCTGCTTAGACTAGGATAGCTATACTTGTGCCTGGGGGATGAGGCAGAACTGAGAGCAACTGAAATTCTTATTCTTGGACTTCTAACTAAACCACAAAGTCCTCAATTGGCAGGAGTCTCCCAGAGTACCTAGAACCCTTGTTACCACACAGTGTAAGCCTCATGCACACTGGTTAAGTCCTTTATTGTAGCACAGGCATGTGCAGGGCTGGCCTAATGTGACCATCCCCTCCCCTCAGGATCTGCAGTCTCAGTACTGCTTGCTCAGGGACCTCTATCTGCAGCTGCAGGGCCTTTACCAGACTCCACAGCAAGTCATTACCATGCAGCCGAGCATAAGGAACTTCAGCCTTGTGCCTTAAACTTCCTGTGCTCTCAAAACTGACCCTTAAGAAAACTGTGGTGCTATCTAGAATCTGTCTACTCAGGCATCCCACAACTCTAAGGAAGGTGAGAACCTACCGGAAAACAGTTTTCGGTTACCAAGGTATGAAGTCGGTCATGGTCTGAGCTAAAAAGGAAAGAAATTCGTATCACTGACTACTGCTTTTATGATATTCTATATGAAAGTTGAAAATGGCCCTGAAAATGGAAAACCATTCATTTTTACAAATATTTTCTGCACACCTACTATAAACCAGGTAATATACTAAGTCCTAGAGACACAAAGATGAAGAATAACATGATTTCTCAGAAAACCATGAGCTCTAAAAGCAGTGCAAAGTTATGTTTGAATCTCAGGAGCAGAAAGAAATTTCTCTGAAATTACTATACATCCTTGAGATGGGGAAAAGACCTTCACTGGGACATGGGGACTGATTTCTGTTCTAAGCTGGAACAAGATTCAACACAAACAACAATCAAAAGCTCAACTTATCTCCTCTTACCATGGATATATCATCACTACCAACTGCTTAGTCTTATTTCTTATACTTTCATCCTTGAACCTAGCCAAGAGATAACCAGTATGGTTGAGTCCCTTCACTGTTCATCTGAAACTACAACACTGTCAAACAGCTATAGAAAGAAAGTGAAGTCACTCAGTCATGTCTGACTCTCTGCGACCCAATGGACTGTAGCCTACCAGGCTTCTCCGTCCATGGGATTTTCCAGGCAAGAGTACTGGAGTAGGTTGCCATTTCCTTCTCCAGTGGATCTTCCTGACCCAGGGATCGAACCCGGGTCTCCTGCATTGTAGACAGACGCTTTCTGTCTGAGCTACCAGGGAAGTCAACGGCTTCCATTAAATACCCCAATACAAAATAAAAAGCTTAAGGTTTGGAGAAAATAAAAGGTAACCACTTGTCATTTCCGGTCCTTTCCACACAAACTATCCCTCCATCCCATCTTTGGGGCTGCCAGAGTGACCAAGTTATGCTGATTCTATTCGGTAAGAAAATGAGACAACAAACCCAAGCTCCTGAACATGTAAGATTTTAGGAGGGTTCCTCACTGAAGTAGGCTTCAAGTAAACCTAAGACCACAGATTAGTTTCTTTCAGATACACATTCATGACTTTCTCCTGCAATTTATTTTTTTTTGTTGCTTGTTTTTGTTTTTTGTTTTTTATCTTCTGCAATTTAACACTTCCTGAGTGGTTTAAGTCTTGCTCTTTGAAAAACTGTGTCTTTAATGCCAGGGTGGGTGATAGGTTAGTTCTATTTGTTTCACTTCCACTTCTGTTCCAAATAAAAAAGACTGAGTCATTTCTCCTCACTGTAGCTCTAGACTGACCAAGTTGTAGCGACAGGTGCCACAACCACCACGCCTGGCACCTCTCAATGAATTCTTCCTCATCACTATCTTGGCCTAGAAATCTTCAGTAGAAATAAACTCCCCCTTTTATGAGCTGACTCAGTATTTTGTAAGAGAACTTATCCTATAAGTAAGTTTGCAATAAAACTTACCCTCCCACTGTAAACATCCAGAAAGGTTGGGAGAGAATATAATAAACACAGACACACACACATTTTTAAATCTCTAGCCTAGTACACAAAAAAGGAAGCTAAGTCCGTAGGTGCCAGAGAGGAAGAGGGAATTAAAAGTAGAATGGAAAGAACATAACCTGATACCACAACCAGGTAAGACATGATTTAGGGATCCAGAAATAGGATCTGATGACTCGAGCTTGACATCTCCTAAAACCCAGGACGTTGAAAGGACAGGGAGTTGGAATTGAAATCCCTGTATAAAGCTCTGACCCTCAAAAAAGTCTGGCACCTGCAGGAAAAGTAAACTAGAAAAATAGTCCACCAACCTAGAGACAAAACTTCCCTCTGGCTAGAGCTCTGAGCACGGGGAAAAATCTAAAAAATAAACAACAAAAAAACCCCACGAAAACTGAAAAATTAAAGCACTAAGTACACATTATACTCAAATGTGGACACAAAATTTACAGTTATCTCTATGATGCAAGAATTCCTAAACTAAGAAATAAACATAAAAACTAACACCTTGCCAACACTATCCCTAGAGGATCTGGCAGAAACACATAGAGAAAACCTCTCTAGGAGCATATTCATAACTTAGGTTGTCTGGAATTCCCTCAGAAGAAACACACTCCAACATCAACACTACAAAACAGACCTGGAATCAATCTAGCAAAATCAACAGACACAGACATCAAACAAAACGACACACCAGAAAGCACTAGGGGTGGATCCCTTCATTGAAATAACTGATAAATAAGAAAAACAAAATCTCAGAACTCTGGATACTTATAACAATCAGGGGAATGCCTGATGAAGGGAGAAGCCAATGAGCTTGGATTTAAGAACATGTACAAACCACATACCCTCCTCTTTCCCTCAGGCCTGCCATGACTGTGGGACAGTGGTCTGTGTTCTGGAGTGGATGGCGGGTACTTGGGCAGGCAGCAAGGCCCTTCCCCTCCAAAATTTGAGTTTGCACATTCTGGTCAATCTGGTGGACAGCAGAGAGACCCACACAAACCATGCCATGGTTTCAGCCCTGCTGGCTGCAGCAGCTTTTCCCATCAACAGATAGATATAAAGGGATAAAGGGGAAAGAACACCCATTTTGTTTTTATTCAGTCAGACAATTTAGGAAATCTTTGTCAGGTCACTGGCTGACTGCAGAGATAATGGAACGGAAACTTCAATGACTACTACCCACAACAAAGAACACACACTTAGCAGTATTAGTTTGGAAAAGTCACAAATGGATGGCAGTGGCACTAATCAACAAAGTCAGCAATTCCTGAGGAGCAGAGCAATCTGATTTTCATAGTTACCACATAATAATACTCAGAATGTCCAATTCTCAACAAAAAATTACAAAGTATACCAAGAAATATGAAAGTATGGCCCACTTACAGGAAAAAATTTTTGACAGAAGCCATCCCTGAGGAAGCCCAGACATTAGAATTACTAGCCAAAGACATTAAATCAATTGTCCTACATGTTCATTGAGATAAAGGCAACCAGGGAAAAAGAACTAAAGGAAATTCAAAAACAATCTACAAAATAAGTACATCAGTAAAGAGATAAAAATTATGAAAATGAACCAAACAAATTCTAGAACTGCAAAATACAGTGAAAGGAATTAAAAATTCACTACAGGGGTTAGGGACTTCCCTGGCAGTGCAGTGGTTAGGATTTCGCCTTCCAGTGCAGGGGGTGCAGGTTCAATTCCTGGTGGGGGAGCTAAGATCCCACATATCTCCTGGGCAAAAAGCCAACACATTAAAAAAAAAAAAAAAAAAAAAGCAGCAGGGACTTCCCTGGTGGTCCAGTGGTTAAGAATTCGCCTTCCATTGCAAGGGGCGTGAGTTCAATCCCTGGTCAGGGAGCTAAGATTCCACATACCTTGCGGCCAAAAAACAAAAGCAATATTGTAATAAATTCTATAAAGACTTTTAAAAATGGTCTAGATTAAAAAAAAAAAATCTTAAAAAAAAAAAGCAATATTGTAACAAATTCAATAAAGACTTAAAAAAATTCACTACAGGGGTTGAACATCAAATCTGAGCAGGCAGAAACAATGGATCAGTTACCCGGACGATAAAACTACTGAAAGTGTCCAATCTAAGGAGCAAGTGAAAGTTGTTCAGTTGTGTCCAACTCTTTGCGACCCCATGGACTATACAGTCCATGGAATTCTCTAGGCCAGAATACTGGAGTGGGTAGTCTTTCCCTTCTCCAGGGGATCTTCCCAACCCAGGAATCGAACCCAGGTCTCCCGCAATGCAGGTGGATTCTTTACCAGCTGAGTCACATAACTTGAGGATACAACTATTTAAAGTATCCAATCTAAGGAGCAAAAAGAAGAAAAAAATGAAGAAAAATGAGTAGAGACTGAGGTACCTATAGGACAGTGTCAAGTGCATCAACACCCATATCATAGGAGTCCAAGAAGGAGAAGAGAGGAGGCAAAAAAAAAAATTTGAAGAAATAATGGCTGAAGGAACTTCCTTAAGGGTCCAGGGGTTAAGAGTCTGTGCTTCCACTTCAGGGGGCACAGGTTCAATCCCTGGTCAGAGAAGTTCCCGCATAATGCATAGTGTAGCCAAAAAAAGAAAGGATGGCTGAAAACATTCCAAATCTGGTAAAAGAAATGAATGTTCATATCCAAGAAACTCCACAAACTCCAAGCAGAGAGAACTCAAAGAAATCCACACTGAGATACGGTACAAGTGTCAAAACCAAAAGACAAAGAGAATTTTAAAAGCAACAAAAGAGAAGTTATTTGTCACATACAACGGACCTTAAAAAGGTTACAGTTGATTTCTTATGAGAAACTATGGAGGCCAAAAGGTAGTGGGATGATATATTTAAAGGCCTAAAAGAAAATCTGTCAACTAAGAATTCTATAGACAGTAAGGATGAAGGAAAGGGCTTCCTTGGTGGCTCAGTGGTTAAGATTCTGCACTTCCACTTCAGGGGACATGGGTTAAATCCCTGGTCTGGTAAGTTCCACATGCCACGAGGTATCGCAAAAGAAAAAAAAAAAGAATGAAAGAGAATTATAGATATTTTCAGATAAATAAAAATTGAGAGGGTTTATTACCAGGAGATCTGTCCTATTAGATATACTAAAGGAGTTTTCAGACCTAAATGAAAGGACACTAGACAGTAACTTAAAGCAATAAGAAGAAATAATTAGCACTGGTACAGGTTACTATATAGGTAAACATAAAAGCCAGTATTCTTGTACTTCTGATCTGTAATTCCTCAATTTTTTCCTATTTTATTTAAAAGGCACATGCATAAAACATCAGTTACAAATCTATGTTATGGGCACATAATGTATAAACATATAATCAGTGGCAGTAACAATGCGAAGGGGAAGGGACAGAGATACATAGGAGCAGACTGCTTGTACACTACTGAAACTTTGGTATCATCCAAACTAGACTGTTAAGATACTAATTCTAATCCCCAAAGTAAACATTAAGAAAATAATTTTTAAAAAATCTATAGAAAAGGAAAGAAGGGAATCAGAAAGGTATACCACTGGGACTTCCCTGGTGGTCCAGTGGTTAAGAATCCGCCTGCCAATTCAGGGAACGCTGGTTCAATCCCTGGTTCCAGAAGGTCCCACACACCTGGGACCAATGAACCTCGTGCGCCACGACGACCGAGCCCACGCTCTACGGCCCTCAAGCCCCAGCTATTGAAGCCGGTGTGCCTAGAGCCCTTGCTCTGCAATAGAAGACGCCACTGCAATGAGAGGCTCATGTACCACAATAAAGAACAGCCCTGGCTTGGTGCAACTAGAGAAAGTCTGAGCACAGCAACAGAAGATCCAGCACAGCCAAAAATAAACAAATAAATACATAAGTAATATTATCAAAAAAATGAAGCTGGATGCTTACTTTACAGCATACACAAAATTAACTCAAAAGGGATCAAAGACCAAAATGTGAGAACCAAATCTAAAACTCTTAGAAGAAAACATAGGGGAAAAATTCCATGACACTGGATTTGGCAATGATTTGTAGATTTGACACTAAAAACTCACACAACAAAAAAACATGTAACTTGGACTTAATCAAAATTAAAATGTTCTTATATCAAAGTACACTACCAAGAAAGTCAAAACCCATGAAATGGGAGAAAATATTTACAAGCATATATCAGATGTGGATTACTATCCAGAACACATAAAGAGCTCCTGCAACCCAATAACAAAATAGCAACCCAACTGTGGCCACTGCTGAGTTTTCCAAATTGCTGACTTGAACAGCATCATCTTTTAAGATTTTAAACAGCTCAGCTGGAATTCCATCACCTCCACCAGCTTTGTTTGAAGTAATGCTTCCTAAGGCCCACTTGACTTCACACTCCAGGATATCTGGCTCTAGCTGAGTGACCACACTATCATGGTTATCTCGATCACTAACTTTTTAAAATATAGTTCTTCTGTCTATTCTTGACACCTCTTCTTAATCTCTTCTGCTTGTTAGGTCCGTATGATTTCTATTCTTTATTGTGCCCATACTTGCATAAAATGTTCCCTTGATATCTCCAATTTTCTTGAAGAGATTGCTAGTCTTTCCCATTCTGTTGTTTTCCTCTATTTCTTTGCATTGTTCGTTTAAAAAGGCCTTCTTATCTCTCCTTGCTATTCTCTTTAACTCTGTATTCAATTGGGTATATCTTTCCCTTTCTCGCTTGCCTTTCACTCTTCTTTCCTCAGCTATTTGTAAAGCCTCCTCAGACAACCACTTTGCCTTCTTGAATTTCTTTTTCTTGGGGATGGTCTTCATCACCACCCCCTGTACAATGCTTCAAATCTCCGTCCATAGTTCTTCAGGCACTGTGTCTACCAGATCTAATCCTTTGAATCTATTTGTCACCTCCACTGTATAATTCATAAGGGATCGATTTAGGTCATACCTGAGTGACCTAGTGGTTTTCCCTACTTTCTTCAATTTAAGCCTGAATTTTGCAATATGGAGCTCATTATCTGAGCCACAGGCAGCTCCAGATCTTGTTTTTGCTGACTGTATTGAGCCTCTCCATCTTCAGCTACAAAGAATATAGTCAATCTGCTTTCAGTTTTGCAAAGCTAGTGGAGGTGATGGAATTCCAGCTGAGCTATTTCAAATCCTAAAAGATGATGCTGTTCAAGCACTGCACACAATATGTCAGCAATTTGGAAAACTCTGCAGTGGCCATGATGGGAAAAGATCAGTTTCCATTCCAATCCCAAAGAAGGGCAATGCCAAAGAATGTTCAAGCTATCAAACAATTATGCTCATTTCACATGCCAGTAAGGTTATGCTCAAAGTCTTTAAGCTAGGCTTCAGCAATATGTGAACTGAGAACTTACAGATGTACAAGCTGGGTTTAGGAAAAGCAGAGGAAACAGAGATCAAATTGCCAGCATTTGCTGGATTATAGAGAGAGCAAGGGAATTCCAGAAAAACATCTACTTCTTCACTGACTAAGCTAAAGCCTTGGACTGTGTGGATCCCAACAAACTGGAAAATTCTTAGAGGTGAGAATAGCAGACCACCTTACCTGTCTCCTGAGAAACCTGTATGCAGGTCAAGAAGAAACAGACTGGACATGAAATAACTGACTGGTTCAAAACTAGAAAAAGAATACAACAAGGCTGTATATTGTCACTTGCTTATTTACGTACTTCTATGCAGAGTACATCACGCAAAATGCTGGGCTGGATGAATCACAAGCAGGAATCAAGACTGCTGGGAGAAATATCAACAACCTCAGATATGCAAATGATACCACTCTAATGGCTGAAAGTGAAGAGGAACTAAAGAGCCTCTTGATGAGGATGAAAGTGGAGAGTCAAAAAGCTGACTTAAAACTCAACATCCAAAAAACTAAGATCATGGCATCCAGTCCCATTGCTTCATGGCAAACAGAAGGGGAAAAAGTGGAAGCAGTAACAGATTTTACTTTCTTGGGCTCCAAAATCACTGTAGACAGTGACTGTAGCCATGAAATTAAAAGATGTCTGCTCTCTGGAAGAAAAGCTATGACAAATCTAGACAGCACATTATAAAGCAGAGACATCACTTTTCTGACAAAGGTACGTAGAGTCAAAGCTATGGTTTCTCCAGTAGTCAGACATGAATGTGAGAGTTGGACCATAAAGAAGGGTGAGTGCTGAAGAACTGATGCTTTCAAATTGTGATGCTGGAAAAGACTCTTGAGAGTCCCCTAGACTGCAAGGACATTAAACCTGTCAATTCTACAGAAAATCAACCTTGAGTAATCAGAGACTGGAAGGTCTGATCAATCAGACATTGGAAGGTCTGATGCTGAAGCTCCAATATGTTGGCCACCTGATGAGAAGAGCCAACTCACTGGAAAAGACCCTGATACTGGGAAAGATTGAAGGCAAAAGGAGAAGAGGACAACAGAGGATGAGATGGTTAGACAGCATTATTGACTCAAGGGACATGAATCTGACCAAACTCCGAGAGACAGTATAACACAGGGAAGCCTGGCAGGCTAGAGTCCGTGGGGTTGCAAAGGGTTGGACGTGATTTAGTGACTAAAAGACAAACACGCAGAAAGGATCAGGATGAGTTAGGGATGAGGGAGGGTGAAAACAGCTGCCATTAAGCAGAGTCCTAACACTTGCCAGTGGAGCTAAGCCAGACCAAATGGTGAAAATTCCCAGACGCAGTGAAAGAAGTCAAAGATAGCTCCAGGCTCCAATTATTTCCCAAAGAGGAAGCTCTCTCACTCTAGAATTCTTACCTGAAGAAAGAAAAAAAAACACCTAGAATAATAGCTGCTGAGAACATAACAGGTATAAGACAGGTAGTTCACGTACTTGTTTAGACACAGGTGAGCTTCAATGAAGATATCCTGGGCTTTTTCAGGGAAGTCCTTTACTTTAAAACTAGGATCACTTTCTTTTATCCTCCGGATCCTGTAAAATTAAGCATGAGAATCATTTTAATAACTTAACAGCTTACTTTACCTCCATTAATGTCTGTCCATTTATTCAGTAATTGTTTTTTGAATGTGTCAAGTCCTATAAATACAGCCTTCTAACTTACACTTAAATCAATTACTCTAAAGAAAAACCAAAGCTTCTCATAGTGAATTTCTGGAATTTTGACATCAAAGAAAATATCCTATAAGCACTAAGGAAGGAAAAACAGGTTTCATACAGAGGCTCAAGAGTCAGAAAGACATTGGGCTTCTAACTAGCAACATCAGAAGTTAGAAGATTAGAAAGACAATGGAGGAGTATTTTTGATGGAGAAAAAAATGACTCCCAGTCCAGAATTCTGTATCTGGGCAAATTATTTATTTTTTTGGCCACACTGCACAGCATGATAGGTTCTTAGTTCCCCAACCAGGGACTGAACTTGTTTGTGCCCCCTGCAGGAGAACCGTGAAGTCTTAACAACTGGACCACCAGGGAAGCCCTATGGGCAAATTATAAATGAAGTGGGAGACTAAAAGAAAGACTTTTTCTTAGCCTTGCAACATTTCATTTATTTACCTTCCACTCTTTCTCAGGAAGCTGCGAGAGAATGTGTACCACCAAAATAACTGAATGTACATGAAGGAGAAAGACATAAAATCCAGGAAACAGGGAATATATATAAGAGCAAGGCAAATGGATTAGCAGGATGATGATAAAAGTAGACCCCACAATGTACAGTGAGCCTGAAGAGTGACCAATTAAGACCAAAAAAGGTAAGAAGGCTCCAAAAGGGCTTTCTTCTTTATGATGAGATTGATAAAATAATGTTTTCTACACAGTGAGAAAAAATTAACACAACCAGGGATTCTATAAGGAAATGAGAAAAAAAAGACACTTAACACCAGGAATTAAAAAAAAAAACTATTATGCAGGAAAGGAAATGTAATAATAATGTACTGCATGACTCAACTGTCAACAGCGTTTTCATAGTTACAATAATGTAAACAGGGAATTCTGATCTAATCAGTACTACCAGAAATGTATTAAGAGGATGAGGGACACCATAACCCAGAGGAATTTATCCCAAGAATGCAGGGTTGGCATTAACACTAAAAAATCAATTAATGTAATATACCATATCAATACAATAAAGGACAAATATCACATTATCATGTCAATGATCAGAGAAAAAGCATTTGACAAAATCAACTCCTTTACACTCTTTTCACCTCAAAGCCTTGTTTTGTTTCCCTGGAACGCTATTCCTCACCACATTTCTCTACTCAGTTAACTCCAAGCAACCCTTTAGATCCCAGCTTTAAATGTCATTTTCTTAGAGAAGCCTACTCTGAACTCCCAGAAGGGAAAGTTATCTTTCCCCGTCCTGTGTTTCCATAGCACTCATACTTCACTGTACCTGTAATTATGTGTGTACAATCAGTAACTGGTCTCCGCCCCTAGACAATAAGTGTTGGGTTCGTCAACATCATGAACTCTTCTACCAAAGAGTTCACAAGCCAGGAAAGAAATACATGAGAGGAAATCATCACAATACAGAGTTATCAGAGATAGTAAAAATAAGCATACAGTTATAACAAAGGCAACTCCAAAAAAAGTCAGGGAAGGCTAGAAGCAGATAGAAATTAAAAGCAGACCTAGAGATTATCATACGTTACAAAGTAAGTCAGAAAGAGAAAAATAAACAACATACAATGTCACTTATATGTGGAGTCTAAAATACAACACAGGGATGTCCAGTGGTTAAGACCCTGAGTTTCCACTGCAGCAAGTGCAGGTTTAATCCCTCTGGTCGGTATACTAAGATCCCATATGCTGAATGGTGCAGCCAAAAAAAAACGCAGAAAGAAACATATCTATTAAACACAAACATAATCAAAGCTATGGTTCTTCCAGTAGTCATGTACAGATGTGAGAGGTGGACCATAAAGAATGTTGAGCACTGAAGAAATGATGCTTTTGATTGTGGACAAGACTCTTGAGAATCCCCTGGACAGCAAGGAAATCAAACCAGTCAATCCAAAAGGAAATCAACCCTGAAAATTCACTGGAAGGACTAATGCTGAAGTTGAAACTCCAATATTTTGGCCACCTGATGCGAAGAGCTGACTCACTGGAAAAGACCCTGCTGCTCAAAAAGATTGAGGGCAGGAAAAGGGGGAGATAGAGGATGAGACGGTTGGATGGCATGTCTGACCCAATGGACATGAGCAAACTCCAGGAGATAGTGAAAGACAGGGAAGCCTGGTGTGCTGCAGTTCATGGGGACACAAAGAATTGGACACAACTTACCAGCTGAACAACAACAAAGAGAACAGACTTGTGGTTGCCAAGGGGGAGGGCAGGGGAGAAGGAAGAACTGGGGGTATGATTATAAAAAAAAAAAGTAGGGCTTTCCTGGTGGTCCAGTAGTTAAGAATCTGCCTTGCAATGCAAGGGACACCAGTTCAATTCCGGATTGGGAAGATCCAACATGTTGAGGGCAACTAGGCCTCTGTGCCACAGCTACGGTGCTATGGAGGCCAGCAGCCGTAACTATTGAGCCCGCATACAGCAACTACTGAAGCCCACATGTAGTGTGGGGTGTAGAGCCTAGTGTAGGGCCGTGCTCCACAAGAGAAGCCACTGCAGCCAAAAATAAATAAGTATTTAAAAAAAACAAAAACCAGCAGACACAATGCTTGAGGAAAAAAGACATCTTTCAGACAGAGGAAAGGATGTGCAAAGAGACACAACACAGCAATTGTCAAGGAACCAGCAATTAGTTTGGAAATGTTAACGTTTAGGATGAGAAAAATGAAATAGACAATGGTGGAGAGAAAGGTAAGAGCCAAATTCTTTCTTAAAAAGCCCTGAATACCACTGAAGAAATCTATATTTTATTCTTCAGATAATAAGGAGCCACAAGGAGTCTGAGGCAGATGTGTTGATATGATAAGACCTGTATTTAGAGGAATGTTTTAGCCACATGAAGAATTGACACTAACTCAATACACTTGTGCATAGAAATCTATATATGACCTTAAAGAGCCTATAATTTAGATACAGTCAGAGTCAGAGTGACAGATACTGAAAATCTCTTTAAGAAGACAGTTTTGGCTTCTGCTGTTTAACTAAAGCACAATTAGCTCCCTAGAATAGGTCTATGTTCTAAAGCCTTTTGGTTTTTCTCACTCTCTTAAAATCTCAGGTATTTCTCTTATAAATATGCTCTCTCTTATTACTAAGTTATTAAATATGTGATCAAAAAAGTGTCCTACAAACTTCAATGTCAACTTCCTAAATGATGTGAGAAAAATGACAAATCAAGGCTGAGATGCTAAGATTCAGAATGCCCATACTATTATACATTAAGTCTATTACAGGGAAAGAATATACTGTCAAGTTATCAAAGGAGTTATACACAATTAATCCAAGACAGCCTCTCTGGATTAAGTAGCAACAAGAAATTTTTATTCTAATATTAACTCCCAGCTGTCTCAGATACCTACGACAATTGTGATGCCACATTCTTCTTCAATCGCTCAGTCCTCTGTGCTAGTCCTTCCTTAGAAAGAGATGACACTCGGGCATCACCCTCAGGAGGAACATAGGCATCAAAGATACCAGCTGTAAAGAGAGAAGGAGAAAACTAAGAAAGCATTGTAAGATTGAGAAAAAAGTCATCTTGAGGTCCTAAAAAATTGGGAGGGCTCCTGGATACAAAACAGTCTATATCAACAGACTTTTCCATGCAGAGGAAATCATGCAGGATTAGAAAAAGTAGAGTAAGATAATCTTAGTCTTCAAAAGAGTCTTAGCTTCTTCTTGTACAAAACAGAGAAATTTTACCCTGGTCTTCTAGGAATACTGTGAAAAGAAGATCAAAGATGACCTCATGAAATATAATGTATACAAATTATTGAATCTGAACTGATTTGGGGGTTAATTAAATGCTATCATGCACAGTCCAAATCATTCCACTTTTCAAGAAGAGCTTTGACAGAAGGGGACTGGGTTAGGGCTTTACCTGTACAGGCCAGATGTATGGGACGTTCCAAACTTTCTTGAGGAATGACCAGTCCTGCTTTCCGGGCATATTCTACAAACTCTTTTTCTGTTTTGTATTTGGGTTGATAAATAGGGGGTGTGAAACGTTTTTTAGTTCTCGCTGGAACTACTGCTGTGGACTGAGTCATCAGGATTGGCTGGAGATAGCAGGAAAAGGTTAGGTAACCTGGGAAAAAATCTTATACAAACTGTAAGCAAAGATAGAAAGGGCACATCCAAAGAATGACTTAGGAACAATTATAAAGCGACACATCATGGGGAAATGCTTCTATCTTAACAATTATAGCTGTCTCTTACTAAAAGCCAGTAAGCAACTTTTACTAATACTAATACCACTCAACCTTTACTAAAGGCTTTCTCTTAGAACTTTTCATACTACAGGGCTATGCCAACTCAAGGATGCAGAGTTGATGAAAGCAAGGTTGATCAGACTGATGAAAGAACGCTCGGTCTGATGGGGAACTTAAACACCAACCCAGTACTCGCTTTTCTTCTGCTCTACCTAAACTCAGAGATCTCTATATTTACTCAGATTACATTGTGCTCATTCTATTGGGAGCCTCAACGTAAACTTTATTTTGTCGTTCTAGCTCCCAATTAACCAATAAGCTCCTTAAAGGCCAGATCCCTTTTCTCGCTGACCATGAGGTTTGTTCAGGCAGGAACGATTCTCCCTCCTTTACAGCTACTGATCAATTTAGGACAGTTATAAAAAATCAACGGGAAGCGAGACCACTTTCCAAACCATTACTACTTTCTCACTTAACATCCGTACGCCAGTGAGACCCAGGGCAAACAGGAGAAACTTAATCCCCGAGAACTTGTCCGCCCTGATAGCCCTACCAGGGCTCTCCCCACTCAGCCACATAGCTATACAATAGCTGTGTCTCGCCTACCTCAACTGCTCCCTACCTAGGTATGATCTGTATCGCCCAAGTTCACCAAGGACAACCGTAAAGTGAGTATTTCCCTCTGCTCTGTCCTCCTCCAGCCCCCAGACTTCCAGCCACCCCATCCCTACCCACCTGCCGAGACCACCGTCCTACAGCCCTGGATAAGCAAGACAAACTCCACGGCATGGGGGCTGCCATTTTGCTCACGCAAAGGCAGCTGGGAAGGAAACAGTGAAGAGCCGGCGGCTGGAAAGAAGGCGCATAGGGCGGAGCTAGCTCGGGCGTGGAATTTTCCAGGGCACGCGCCCTCCGCCAAGTGTGAAAGGCGCGAACGCGCACGTACGCGTTCGGGAGGGAGCGAGGGTGGAGTTGAGCTGCGCATGCACAGTAAGATGGCGTTGGGGGTAGGGTGGAAGCACTGTTGTCACGCGTCAGGCGGAGAGCGTGGAGCCACAACCGCGCCTGCGCACCTAGTTTTCTGGCGGCCAGGAACTACTGCATTCCAGAAGGTTTGGGACAGAGCTGCACCTTTTTTCCATTCCGTAAAGAACGAAAAGATGTTTCCCTTTTGAGACAAGTGTTTTCTTCAGTGCCTACTTGGATCTTAGGAAGGACAAAAATGTCTAGCTTCTAGGTCTATATCCCATATGGTGGGTAACCTTAGCCGGAGCTCTGATTTTCCCAGTCTATACTGTGAGAAGAATATTCTATCGAATTAAGGAAATTAATGACGGCTGTGTTTATTGAAGAAAAAGACACGTGAACTGACAAAAGCATTTGTTTGCCATTTGGGGACAGAGGCACAGGTTTTATTAACAAAAAAAAAATGGCTTATACTTAGAAATCATTTACCAGATGCCAGGCAATTTTCCGAGTATTTTATATATTTTAACTCAAATCTCATCACAAACGAGTAATTTTCTTGTATATAATAAAAAGATGCGCCGCCTCAAAATTAAGTATGTAATTTATTTAAGGTCACACGGCTGATAATTGGCAGAACTGGGATTCAAATTCAAGCAGTCTAACTCCAGAACCCATGCACTGACTACTGTCCTGTATTTCTTAACATTAAGTGGTTAAAGGATTCATGTTGTTGGGATCATCCTGGAAAATCCAATACTGGAACCATAGGTGAATGATAAGCACTTTCCATACTTACCCTTAGGTTTTTATCTCATTCTGCCAATTAATGTTTATTGAACACTTATCTATAGTATTTTGCAATGAGTTGGGATCTATGAGCTGTACAGGCTAGAATAGAATTGCTACAAAGGTCCAAGTAAAATGCTAACGACTGTCAAAGGAAAGGGAGATTACTTTTGGATTTGGGGATCTGATGTCTTAAATCTTGACTTTTTGACTATACTGTGTACACATACACACACACATACACACACACACATACACACACACATTTTTTGGCTTCACCGCAGCTTGTGGGATTTTAGTTCCCCAACCAGGGATTGAGCTCGTGCTGTCTGCAGTGGAAGCACAGTCTTAACCACTGGACTACCAGGAAAGTACCTATATAGTCTTCAAGACTAAGAATTTTCTCTCAAGTCTTAGCCATAGCCTTGAACCTATAGCATGACATATTAATAGTGACATGAAATTAGGTGTTATATGTATATGCTAAAGAATATATTAAGCATTTAAGTGAGAGAGAGAGATATATAGTTATTTCTTAACGAAGTCCTATCTACTCTATGCTCCCCAAAGTAGAACATGAATTGGTTTTTTTAAAACTGGTTTTCCTGAAAAATGAGGAAACCCCACTCCATGATGAATGGTTATTAATGCAGAACATTGATACACTCTTTCTGGGATTATCTGCCTCACTGTTGAGTCTTATGTTTGTCTCACATGGTAGCCAACACATCCTAGATCATCTCTGCCTTCCCTCTAGTCAGTTTATCAGGGAACACAAACTTGTTTATATCAACCTGGATGAAAGAATAAAGGGAGTCAATTGCTTTTAATTCGTTCTGAGACCAGTTGTAAGTGGGTTTTATAGCTGCTCTTTGGAAAATTCATATTATCTTCCTGTCTCATTAACTGCATGGAAAATTGGGAGCTGTCTACCTGGGGATGATAACATGAAAAGGAGACTTCTTAATTCGACAAACATAGTAGTTCACACTTCAGAAAAATCAAGATAAGAACAAGAAAAGGAAACTCATTTTGTAATTAGAGGAAGGAATAAGGTGTTAGGGGCTCAGCCTTGCAAAGAAACAGTCTTGCACATAGTAGACACTCAAATATTTATTCATTAAGTGGATCATGGGAAAAAATAAGCGAATCAGTAGAATCCCAGATAAACTATGATGAGGCAGAGGGCAAAGTTGATTTCTGTGTTTCCCCAAATATGGGGAGTTCCTGGGATCACTCATTGTCTTATTCTAAATGGATCCAAAGAGGATGGAATATCCCATGAGCAGTGGGACACACACTGTGCTTGCATCCCTCCCCACCCCACCACAGTGGCAGATGATGTCAAAGATTGGAATTTCTGAAATTCTGCCTGGTAGGCCTACATTCTGGGTTTCCATGCTGTCTCAGTGGGTAAAGAATCTGCTTGCCAATGCAGGAGACTTGGGTTTGATCCCCGGGTCAGGAAGATTCCCTGGAGAAGGAAATGGCAACCCGCTCTAATATTCTTGCCAGGAAAATCCCATGGACAGAGAAGCCCTACAGTCTGCAGTTCATGGAGTTACAAAAAGAGTCAGACACGACTTAGCAACTAAACACCAACCTACTTTCCAGAAGCACCGTTGATTTGAACAAGGAAAATACTTCTGGAGAATTGGAAGAATCTGATTACAATATGTTTATTGATTATAGTAAACAATATGATACTTGGATTGAAGTGAGCGGTAGGCTTGCCATGTGTTTATACTGTACTTCCCTCCCTTGGGTGAGAGCATGAAGAGCAGAGGAAGTGCATTGTCCAAGGTAAGGTGACATAGAAACCATGACTTCTAACTTTCTAAGAAATGGTCTCAACTGATCTTTAGCTAACAACCTTAGCAGAGCTTTTGCGTCACTTGGAGTGTTGACAAGGCTCTTTATATAATGGTGCCTGAGTGTACATCTTAGTTCCACCTCTTTTCCTCACTATAGAAAAGGGGTAATTAAGTGCCTAACTCAAAGAATTGTTACCAACTTAGTAAATGAGTTAATACATGTCCTGCTCTGGCTAAGTTAGGGTAATTGCTTCCAAGCCCCATCATAGCTGTGGAAGGGATAGATGGAGCCTAGCAGGGTCCTGGTAAGTGGAATTGCTCCTTGTGCTGAAACAGATAATATCAGTGGTCCCAGATTCCACCCCCCAGTGCAGTGTCCCTAAGGCAGAAGAGCCCATAACCTGGATATGAATTGGAAATCCTCAGAAAGCCTTATGTGTGTTAGGTCTCTTTTGCTAGGGAGAAGCGAAGAGCTTCTGTTAAAGCTAAAACCATAAAAATGTAGATTGTTTCCATACCCCTAAGTGATTCCTTATCCTTATTTCTGTGCTGCATGACTTTCTTCTAACTGTTCTGTCTCATCCATCCTTCCATTCATCCCTGCAGCTGAAGACAAAGGCTTTCTCCTTTATCTTTTTCTGCCTGCCTCAGACTCTTTATTTCTAAAGGTATGTTTAGGAAGAGATACTGCTCGTCCTGGCTCAGCCAGAAAAGAAGCCTATGCATCCCGCTGTTCAAGCGAGATCTCAGGTTAATCCTTCCCTCCTTCTCGCTCCACTTTCACCCCAGCTGGCTAAATCAAGCGATAATCCTGAAAGGGAATTTCAGGCTATTTGTGACTTCCCCTCTCCGCTCCCTACCCGCCACGTTCAGCGAGGAGAGGCAAAGCCCCTGGATCAGAGTAATCTGTTTCTAACCCACTTCCATTCCCAGGGATTACCTCTGCAGGAGGAGAGAGACAGAAATAAATCTGACATCTTGGCACTGGGAACTTGCGGAAGAAGCTCCAGCAGTGCCTGCAGAGTGTGGGCATGAGGTTCAGGAGCCTGGGAGCTTGTTCTCATAGGCTGGGTTCCCAACAAACAGTGTGATATAATGGAGAGAACTCTGGTTTGGGAGGCAGGAAACATGGGTTCTAGTCTCACCATCGCTGACATTGACTTCCTTGTGGCCTTGGGAGTCACTTCACATCGCTGATCACTAATCTTCCCCATTAAAAAAAATAGCACTCTGGAGTCCTAAAAACCTACATCCCCTACTTGATGTGTGGTGGTGGTTTAGTTGCTAAGTCGTGTCCGACTCTTGCAACTCCATAGACTGTAGCCCACTCCGTGGGATTTGCTAGGCAAGAATACTAGAGTGTTCTGCCATTTCCTTCTCCAGGAGATCTTCCCTACCCAGGGATCAAACTCAGTCTCCTGAACTGCAGGCAGATTCTTTACTGACAGAGAGCCACCAAGATTGAGCTCCTATTAATAATGCATAAAGGCCTGACAAAGACTACCTTTAGGGACCTTGTGAACCAGTTGCTCAACACACCTTCCCTCTGGTCTTTGTTCTTTCCTTTATCCTCTTTGGGCCCTGACATATGAACATGTATCTCCTACCTGGCCGTTCTTTGGGGATGCTCTCCAGTTCCAGCTCTTCGGGGTGGAAGCCAGAGAGGCTGTGTGAATGCGGGAAACTTCCACTAGAGGGTACCAGGGTTTCACTGGCATCTCCAATCACAAAGAGGCCTGTGCAAACCCAACAGTTACAGGGTTTTTTTAGTACTTACATTCAGAGATTAAGAGATCTCCATTCATTATTCCTTACCTGGTCTGCTTCTTACTGCTCCTGGAAGGCTTAAGAAGTCTCTACTCTTGACATTATTTTGATTTAATTTGACATCAAATCAAAGGCAGCTTGGTATAGTGGAATTCAACTGGCTGGGTCCACTACTTCAGAATTCTATGGGCACATTATTTAACTCTTCTGAGGCCCAGTGTACCCATCTGTGAAATGGGGATAATAAAATTTACCAATTTAAATAAGAAAATTTACCGTGTAGGGCTGTGTGTGTTGTGTACTGAAATCCTATATGAAAACTTGTGACTGGTACACAGTAAGTACATAAAATTGTGTCTTAACTAGCGGAGAGTCCTCAGAATTGCCACAAATAGGGAATGATGTTGAGGAAAGAAAGATGAATTTTTGAAAGCTGAGTATACCTCCAGACAAGAAGTGTGACTTTTTGCCATTTTGCTGTTGAGTCTTACAGGTTTCCGGGCTGTGCTTCTTGGTCCTGCTCAGCCTCAGCCCTCGTTCCTATTCTGTTCTTTGTGTCAACCTAGCCATGGCACTCTTCTGCCTTTTTCTCATCTTGATCTCCTTGGAGGTGAGTTCAGTTTCTACTTCCTCCTCACTTCCTTGACAAAAAGTCCTTTGTATTTTGCCCTGCATTTTCTGCAGAGCCACCTCTCCACCTGGTTCTGTTCTTCCCTTCTCATCTCTCCTATAGTCACTTCTAGGGTGGAATGCGCCATCTGTTTCTGAGGCTGAGCAGAAGTTTGGGAAAGAGGGAGGGTGAGCATGTCAGGGCTTGCGTGTCAGCAGACACGTTACAGCTGCAGGGCAAACCAGGGTGAAACCACAAGCCAGAGGCCCCAGGGCAGGCAGCGTAAGGCCCGCCCCTCGGCTCCTCTCTCATCTCTCTCTCACCCCAGAGGTTTCCTGGCAGGAGTGGGAGAGGTTGGTATCGAGTCCTTGAGCCCTGACTCATTCCCTGACCTAGTTGGGTGTTACCCAGTTATCTCCCAAACCTCTCTCCAGAGGCCTTTACAACACAACAGTATCATCCCAGAAAACAGAAGAAGCCAGCACACCACCTGTGAACTCCCTGCCCATCTGAGGATCCCAACAACAAATAAGTCTGCCTTTATCATGGCTTTATATACCACCCAGGTTACACAGGTTATAAAGTGAACAAAATCATCCACCCTGAGAAATCAGCTATTTTCCAGATTGTTTTACAGAAATAATCATGTTTAACTTTCTCCAGAGAGAATAAAATTGTGATTTTATTTTTCTTGGGCAGGGGAAGGGGCTGAGATAAGGGTGGACGGGGTGGACGAGGACTGGAACACTGAGCCAGGAAGTGACTGGCTGTTATCACACAGTGAGTCAGGATTCTATATAGGGACTAACTCAGGTCTCCTAACCTCACCCCAAATTCCATTCTCTTTGCCTCAGTCTAGCTACTTTTGGACTTGTGTAATGTTCCAGGTTTTCTGGACCCTCACAGAAGTTCTTAAAATCTCCAAGATTCCTGAGAGCTTAATAGGAAGTCAATTGTATTCTGCTTCTAGACCTCATACATGTCCCTCTCACTGTTTGTCCTGTGGAAATGCAAGTTGTATGTCTGTTTCCTCCTCAACAGACTGTTGAAAACACTTCGGAGTTATTTAAGATTCAAAGACCAATGTAGTAAGTTGTCTGTGTGAGCTGAGATCTTGGAGACAGGAGATTCCATTTTTAAATCATTCGTTGGTGTTCACGTATTACTGTCCTCGTGTGCCACCGTGCTAGTGGGTGCTGACGATTATTTCCTCACCTCCCCTTTATGCAAAGGTCCCAGTTACTCCCTCACTAGGGTCATGCTTCCTGAAGATAGGAGCTGGTTTCCAAGAAAGCAGATTTTCGCTTTATCCTTTGGCAGAGAGAATGGAGTCGTTGCACACAGGCCAGAACATTCTTTCTGCCAGAGCTTCCCATCTGGAAGAAAAGAGAAAAAGAATTTCAGAGTTTCCATAAGGTCTGCCTAAAAAAGGGGAGGAAGGAATAATGAGCCCTCGGGAAGGAAGATGAAAGCTACAGGGCTGGAACCCCAAGTTTCGTTGTCTGGAAAGAATATCAGATTCTGCAGGCCTGAAACCCTGACCCGGCAGCTCCTACGTTTCCCTTCCTCCTAACCCTTAGCCAGGATTTATTCTGTTCCCCATTCCTTTAACTTTTCACATGTATTTATCTGTCTTGCCTATCCCATCTCAGAATTTTCCCTCTATTCTTTGTTCTTTATGTACTTCCCTTCCAGTTTTGTGCTTTCCCTATGGGTGACTCTAAAATATTCCTAGACTACTTCTTAATGCATCTCACAAAAATAAGATTGAAGTGTTAGAAGGAACTTTCTCACAACCTGTGATGTATGGAAGGACTTCAGTGGGTCCAGAGAGCCTCTGAAATTGAATGCTAATTTAGTGCATATATGCATCTTTCTGGCTAGAAGGCCCATAGCTCCTATCAAGTTCTCAGATCTTCCATTCAGATCCCTGTCTCTTGACCCTGGAGTTCAGTGTGTTTCAGTGTAAGGCTGAGAACCCAAGTTAATTTTGGAAACTAGAATAATTCTGTTTTTTAAAATGAAAAAAATAGAAAATACCAATGTGTATCACATGTAAGGACACTAGTTTTGATTAACATGTGATTCAAAATGCATATGTATGATAATTTTTTATTTTTTACATATAAAATCAAAACATCTAATCTCATTCATTTCATGAATATTTATTGAGTTACCATAGATACTGCTCTGATCACTGGGAATATGGAAAATGAAAGAGACATTTCTGGTCCACAAGCGGCTCGCATTTAGTAGGAAAAAGAGAAGTACACAAAAACATTGCAAAAGAATATTAAGTCCCACTACAGAAGGAAGCACAGGGTACAGGGTATAAAAGAGAGTATGGGACTTCTCTGGTTGCACAGTGGCTAGGAATCCACCTGCCAGTGCAGAGGACATGGGTTCGATTCCTGGTCCAGGAAGATTCCACATGCCTCAAGCAAATAAAAGTCCACGTGTCACAACTGCTGAAGCCCATGCACCTAGAGCATGTACCCCACAACAAGAGAAGCCACCAGAGTGAGAAGTCAGCGCATGACAACAAAGAGTAGCCCAGCTCACTACAACTAAAGAAAGCCTGTGTGCAGCAGCAAAGGCCCAGCGTGACCAAAAATAAATAAATAAGAGTATGACACATCATTTAGAGTTCAGGTGGGGCCACACTTGGGTAGGGTCTGGAGAGATGAGTAAGAATTTGCAGGATACATAGCAAGAAGATGTGCAATTCAAGGCAAGGGGACTGACATGCACAAAGACACAGCAGTGTAAGACAACGCAAGGATGGCCAGGTGGTCAAAGTGGTCTCGTGGGTTGTCTCTGTACTGTAGAGAGGTTGGCTACTTAGGCTAGATCATGGAGAGTCTCCCACTAAATACAGAAATGCTTAATATTCCTAACAGACAGCTCTGCCTGGGCTCTTTCAATGAGATAGAACCGAGAATTTTGTGAAGCAGCTCCTTGTATTCTTGAGCATCTGATTGTGACAAATTCCTTCCTATACTGATGTAATTGCTTCCCTTGTTCAACCATTGATTCTCATTTAGCTCCTGCAGCATAGCAAAAGGAGTTGACATCACCTTCTATTAGGTTGAACCAAATGAAGTTGCATTTTTATAAATCAAGATAGTAGGATGGTTTGCAATTTCATGTTGTTAGCCTGTGCTTGAAAAAAGCCGGTTATTTGAGGACAGTTATTATTTATCTACCTTGCTCTTCTCTTCCCAATATCTAATATCTTTAAACTCCATCAAATTCTTCCTTACTTGGGAAGTTACTAGATCCTTTTTCAACCTGATCTCTCCCTGGACATACACTGGTTCATCAGTGACTTTCTTTCTTTTTTTTTTTTTAATATTTATTTATTTATTTATTTAGGCTGTGCCAGGACTTAGTTGCAGCACACAAGATCTTTGATCTTCATTGTGGCATGCAGGATCTTGAGTTGTGGTAGTTGAACTTTTACTTGTGGCAGGTGGGATCTAGTTCCCCAACTAGGAGCTGAACCTGGGCCCCCTACATTAGGAGCACAGAATCTTAGCCACTAGACCCTGAGGGAAGTCCCCATTAATATCTTTTTAAACATGAGGTACCCATAACTGGTCAATTTAAAGCACAGTGACACTGTTATCTTTTTTGATCTGACATTGTGTCTTTTCATGAAACTGTGACTACATTGGGTTTGGTGAATTCTAAATCTTTTTCACATAAAGTGCTGTCAAGGCAGCCCCACTCCTTCCTATACAATTGGTTTTTCTTGGCTGCACCACCCAGCATGCAGGATCTTAGTTCCTTTATCAGGGATAAAACCCATGCCCCCTGCAGTGGAAGCTCAAAGTCTTACCCATTAGCCAGCCAGGGAAGTCGCCTAAATGTGGGGTTTTATTTTATCCCCGTCAAGTTTCATTTTCTTGATTTTGGCATTTTGTTCTAATCCGTCAAGATGAGTTTATTTTAAAATCTTTTTTATTGAAGGATAGTTGATTTGCAAGGTTTCAGGTATACAGTAATTCAGTTTTACATATATTTATTTTCCATTATAGGTTATTAAAAGATACTGAGTATAGCTCTCTGTGCAGGTCCTTGTTCTTCCCTATTTTACATATACTACTTTGTATCTGCTCATTTATCCCTCCCCACCTTTTGCCTTTGCTAACCATGAATTTGTCTTCTGTGTCTGTGAGTCTATTTCTGTTTTGTAAATAAGTATACTTGTATCATTTCTTTTTAGATTTCATATATAAGTAGTATCATATGATATTTGTCAGTCTAAGATAATTTTAAATCTCACTTCTAACTGCTGAACCTGCCCCCCCACAACTAGACAGTACATGCACTACCACGAAAGATCACGCATGATGA